AGATCTCTTGTATACTTGGCTTGGTTGATAAAGATACCATCTGGAGTCTGCTTCACTTGTAACCCCAGAAAATAATTCAACTCTCCCGTCATGCTCATTTCAAACTTGTTTTGCATGAGAGTTGAAAATTTCTCGCATAGTGCTTGATTTGAACTTCCAAAAATTATGTCATCAACATAGATTTGAACAAGCAGTATGTGGGAGTCTTCTTCAATTTTGAATAGAGTCTTGTCTACTTTGCCTTTAGAGAATCCATTTTTCACTAAATATTCAGAGAGAGTGTCATACCATGATCTTGGGGCTTGCTTGAGTCCATAAAGAGCTTTGTGCAATTTGTAGACTTGATCTTTCTCTCTATTGATTTCAAAGCCAGGGGGTTGCTCTATGTAGACCTCCTCTTCTAGTAGACCATTTAGGAAGGCACTTTTCACATCCATTTGATAGACTGTGAATTGCTTATGAGCAGCATAAGCCAAGAAGATTCTTATTGCCTCCAATCTGGCAACAGGTGCAAATGTCTCATCAAAATCTATACCTTCTTCTTGGCAGTAGCCTTTGGCTACCAGCCTTGCCTTGTTTTTGATAATGGTGCCTTCCTCATCCATTTTGTTTCTGAATACCCATTTAGTTCCTATCACATGTTGATGATAGGGTCTGGACACAAGCTCCCATACATTATTCCTTTCAAACTGGTTGAGTTATTCTTGCATGGCTTGTATCCAGTCAAAGTCAAGCAGGGCTTCTTCAACTTTCTTGGGTTCAATTTGAGAGATGAAGCATGTGAATAGTGCTTCTCTCTGAATTGCTGATCTGGTGCGAACCCCTGTATTGATATTTCCAATGATTTGGTGAGGAGGATGTTTGCTCAACCATCTAACATCAGATGTTGTTATTTTAGATTTAACTTGTTGTTCATCATCCTCCTCTTCTTCCTCTTCACTATTATCTGGTAGAGTAGGAAGATTAGGAATGTCATGAGCACTTGGAAGGTTGTCTTTTGGTGAGTCATCTGCTGGCAGTGGGTTGTTAGTTAAGTCAACTGCTGACAGTTGGTGGCCATATGAGGTAACTGCTGGCTGTCGGCTGTCTTTTGAATTAGTTGCGTTTTCATCCCTTTTAACATTTTTGTTTGGAAGGCAGCTTGGAGCCTTTTCAGTGTCCCTTGATTTTGATGACTCACCTTTTTCTTTTTCTTTAGCAGTGGGGTGGTTTTCAAATACCACATGGATTGATTCTTCTACCACCAGAGTCCTTTTGTTGAGAATTCGTAATGCCTTGCTAGTTATTGAGTAGCCCAGGAAGATCCCTTCATCAGATTTGGGATCAAATTGCTTGAGATAGTCTTTTCCATTGTTTAGGATAAAACATTTGGATCCAAACACATGGAAATGACTGATATTCGGCTTCCTTTCTTTCCATAGCTCATATGGTGTCTTCTTGTGAGTTTTATGAATAAGACTTCTATTTTGAGTGTAGCAAACAGTGTTGATTGCTTCTGCCCAAAATCTTTTGGGTAATCCAGCTGCTTCTAAGATTGTCCTTCCTGCTTCCTTGAGTGTACGGTTTCTTCTTTCAGCAGCACCATTTTGTTGAGGTGTTCTTGCTGCTGAGGTTTGATGATGGATTCCATTTACTTCACAGTACTGAATTATGATTGAGTTGAGAAATTCAATACCTCTATCTGACCTGATCTTCTGGATTGAGAGACTTTTCTCATTTTGAATTAGTCTCATCAGTTCAGGCAGTTTCTTCTCTGTTTCATTCTTTTTCTTTAGAAATATGGTCCAAGTGTATCTAGAATAATCATCAACTACAACTAGGGTGTACCTTCTACCACTTAAGCTTGTTGGTTCAACTGGTCCAAACAAGTCAAGGTGCAGAAGGCTTAAGGGCCTTGTTGATGATTCAACTTCTTTTGATTTGAATGATACCTTGGTTTGTTTCCCTTTTTGATAAGCATCACAGAGGTGGTCCTTTTTGAAGTTGATTTCAGGCAGTCCCTTCACCAAACCTTTTCTGGACAGTTTGTTGATTGTTTTGAAGTTCAGATGGCTTAATTTGTTGTGCCATTCCCAAATTAATTTTGAATCTGCCTTTGTTATTAGGCAGATTCCTTCCTTTGCTGAATCCCAATCAACAATATACATGTCCTTCTTCCTTCTACCAGTGAGCACAAGTTTTTCATTTCTGACATCTCTGATCAAGCAGATGTCTTTGGAGAATGTAACGTTGTAGCCATTGTCACAGAGCTGGCTTATGCTTAAGAGATTGAACTTTAAACCCTTAACATATGATACGTTTTGGATTGTAAGTCCATTAATTGATAGATCTCCTGCTCCTTTGGTTTCTCCTTGTTTTTCCACATTCCCAAATGTCACTTTGGGTCCAAGCACAAAGTTGATGATTGGAGAATCAGGATGAAGGCACATCTCAGTGCCTTACATGATGAAATGCTGGAAGTAATCACTACCGGACCTATCAGGATAATGAAGGTCAGCACATCCAAAACTGATGACCAGGAGGATGTGTACATTCTCAAGCCCAAATTGGAATGGACAACCGAGGACAGAAAGAGACACAACCTTGATAACATTGCCAAGGATATTCTTTTTAAATCTGTTGATGAATCCATATTTCCCAGAATCAGGAAATGTGAAACAACAAAGGACGTTTGGGATGAGCTCACAAAAATTGGAGCTGGTGATGAACAGGAGAAGGACAACAAACTTACCATGGCCCTCAAGAAATTTGAGGACTTCAAGATGCTGCAAAATGAGTCCATCCAAGAGATGGAAACTAGGTTCCTAAAGATCACAGCAGAGGTCTCAGACCTAGGGAAAGATCTACCTCAAAAAGAGATTTCCCTTAAAATCTTGAGAGGCCTGCCCTCTAAATGGGACATGAAGGTGACTGCTATGAGAGATAGCAGAGATCTAAGAATCTTATCAACTGATAAGCTCTTCAGTGATCTCAAAGCCTATGAATTTGAGATGAAGGAAATAAAAGAAGAAAAGGAAGATGAATCCAAAACACTAACTCTAGTGTCTGAGCCTGGCCCTTCAAGATCCAGTGAGAAATCCCTCAACAACCTCCTTACCGACGACCAGTTTGCCATGTTTGTAAGGAAGTTTAAAAGGTTTATGAAGAAGGAGGGAACTGCTCCAAAAAGACCATACAGTCTGCCACCCAGGAAACAAGGGAGACCTCAAACCAGCGAGGAAATTGTCCTGTGCTACAACTGTAGACAACCAGGACATTACAAGAATAAGTGTCCTCTGCCCTTAGCCCATAAATTTCAAGGGCAGCAGGGGATTGGTTACAAAGCTGGTTACAAAAAGGTCTTCAAAGGCAAACGACAAGCCTTTGTTAGTGAAAAGAAAAAGGAGGAAACCCAATCTGAAGAAGAAAGCAGCTCAAGTGATGAAAGCTCTTCATCTGAGAGCTCAGAGGAAGCACTTCTATGCCTGGGATCCTGGCAGGTAGGTGAAAATGACAGCAGTTGTCTCACTGCAGAGAGCAGCAGGTGGCTCAGTGAATCTTCCACCACTTCAAGTGAAACTAATGCAAGCAGCTCTCCTAAATGCTTAATGGCCAAGGACCACTACAATGATGTCGAGGTAACATCCTGCTCCTCCTATAGCTCTAATGATTCTGGACCAAACAACATAACACTGGAATCTTTATTACAAGATTTCCAGAAAGTCCAGAATCACCACGTTCTCTTAAATGCTGAAAATGATAGACTGAAACAAGACATTAAGGCAATAGATTCTAAATTACTAGATGCCTTAAGGAAAAATGATGTCTTAGAAAAGGAGAACAAAGAGCCGAGAAACTCCAGCACAAATAGTAAAAACTCTCACCCTACTGCTGGAGTTACTCCAAATAGGAAGAAAAGAGGTCTTGGTTACTCATCCCCCACCAGACTCACTCAAAACAGTGCATCTACAAGTAATACTTCATACACAAGAAAGCTCACTTACCAAAAACCTCATCCCCAAAATGTCCCCAAAAGAAGGAACCAACCTGCTCCCAAACCAAAATCCAAACACATGTATAAATCAACATCTCCTCACCATTTAAACCCAAGAACCTGTTGGCAACCAATCAATAAGACCAACCACACCAAAAATTCCAAGCAGACTCCTCAAATAAATAATCCATTTCCCACCTCAATGAGGAAAAGAATTAACAAGTATATAGCCATCCCTTTTGATTACAACACCTCAAATGGCTACAGACCAATCTACTTAGAACTCAATGGTTCTAGATGGGCATGGATGCCTAAACTTGTACAAGGGAAGTCGCCCACTAACATGTGGGCTACTGCCCAACATTAATTTATACAGGAAGTTGCCGGAGCAGCTGAAACACAACCATGGTACATAGATTCAGGCTGCTCCAGGCACATGACAGGGAGCAGGCGGCTCCTGTCAAGGAGAATGTATTTAAAAATTAAGCACATTCAAGGCATATCGCTACCAACAGCACAGATGGTCCTGTGGTCCAGCAAATCTTTTCAGGAAAATGCTGATGGAGATCATGAGAAACAAGGTCTGCTCATTGCTACCATCCAATATATCGTTGACCAGTTATGGATAAAAAATTTGTTCAAAATAGGACTAAAAGTCGATAAAACTTCAAATAGGATTGAGTACGTTTTATTTCCAAACTATGACTTATTTAGTCCTATTAAAAGAATAAAAACTCCTCAAAACAGGAGTGAATAGCGGTTTCGCTTCAATCCGCCGTTTCCCCCAAATGAAAACGTTGCATTTTGTAGCGGTTAGGTCCGAATCTGCCAAAAAACAAACATGGCTAATGAATGAGTCATATTCTGGCGAGAAAAAAATCATACTCCTATTTTAGAAAATGTGTTATGTTCTACTCATATTTGTAGACTTGTTGCATGTGTTTGCCCACAATCCTGCCCCTTATTGTTCTTGATTATTTTTTTGTCCCATCTGCATGCAGAAAGTAAACTTGTGGAAGAAGATTCATGTGATCTACAACTTCTTCTTTGTCAGAAAGATCATAGCCCATATTGTCACTTTTGTTTTCTACTGTCTAGTATTGCCTGCAACTGTTCTCATCCCTGAGGTTCAAGTTCCTACATGGGCATGTGTCTATATTCCCACAATCATCACTCTTCTAAATGCCGTTGGAACTCCAAGGTCAGTTTTGACTTTATATGTGAGCTAACCTGACACTAAGAGTAGTCCAAATCTTATATGTGAGTTTATATTTTTTTATACTAGACCACTGCGGGACGATTTACAACGACTTAAGGTCACTACCATTTAGGCAATATATGTTCGATTCTTGAAAGCAGTAAAGATAGAGTAGCACTTATGGTTAATCTGTAACTTTTAATTAATGCATTGTAAATGAAGTTGGAACAATAGCTTTAGAACCCCAAATTATCTTTCCAACAAGATATAATACGCTCTAAATGGAATATTAAGGCGCTGGTTTCAAAATATCAAGGGATGATTGCCTAATTAGCCCATAAATGAAAGATAGTAAAGTTACAAGGGACTTACAGAGGGAGTATATTTGAATGATGTGTGACTAATGGTCAAAGAACGACCGTGATCTACGTGTAGAAGTTGTATTCATAATGAACAACTATGCTTTAATGATAAACAAAATAATATGTGCTTATGTAAGACATGGGTTCATACACTAGGAAAGAAAGTCACAACGTGATTAGGGAAAGTAATTAAGTAATTGATTGATAGCTTCTTATACGATTATTGAATATTGCATATATGCAGGTCATTGCATTTGCTAGTGTTCTGGATACTTTTCAAGAATGTGATGTCCCTCCACCGGACCAAGGCTACCTTCATCGGACTGTTGGAAGCAGGCAGAGTGAATGAATGGATTGTAACTGAGAAACAGGGAGATGCAACTGCTTTCAAGCTAAAACCAGCAGCAACACTAAAATCATCATCATTTAAAAAACCTCTGTTAAGGATTGCAGAAAGGTGATTGGAAAATTTTCTCATTCATGAATTGCCACTTGTAACTTTCATTGACTTTGATGATGATAACTAACTCATCATGCTTCCATGTCGAGTATTAATCGTATATTCACATTACTTGAACAGGATTCATGTGCTAGAGCTTGCAACGGGTGCCTATCTCTTCTACTGCGGATGCTACGATGTCGCATTCGGGAAGAACAATTATTTCCTTTACCTCTTCATCCAATCAATAGCCTTCTTCATAGCTGGATTCGGATATGTTGGCACATTTGTTCATAGTTCTTAACACAACATTTGGTGTCACTCCTTGGCTGATAATGCATATGAATCTTTTTGTGCTTGTCTTCAGATCACCAGATCAGAAGGACGGCATCTTTCACCTGGCTGTATTTTTTATTCTTTTTTCTTTTCCATATATTCTCAATTCTTTCCTTGTAAAATAGAAGAAAACTGGTTATTTGGATTAGGTTGTAAGTCATAAGAATTCAAGTTGTGGACCAAATAATGGATGTATTATCCTTGTGTATATTTCAACATTCAAAGGCAATGTAGATACAGAAAAGATCTCAAAAGATGCACTGTCACTCTCAGAAAGGAAAACTCAGCACGAGAATATAGTCAAAACAAAGAAGCAATGAGCCCCTTCTTTTAGATTGAAATTCTTGTGATTTTGTTAATTTAAGCCGGATCTAGTCTCTCTAAATTGATATTGTTTGGTTTTGGATTAATACACGTTATGTAAATTTTATTTTTGTGAATATACGTAGTATCATTTCAATAATATTGTGAGATATTATTCATACAAGCTTCCCACACTTGGCTTAAGTTATCATTAGTTAAAACTTAAAATGCTAAGTGCTAACCATAACAATAATATTCTCAAAAAAAAACAGAACAATAATACATTTAATAATGATAGTCTTATATATATATATATATATATATTTCCATCATTTGCAATGGAGCCAAAGATTCATTATTTTTTGGTTTGAGATTATGATGGAATAAAGCAAAATGGCTCACTAAACTGTTTGCGCTTCTTTGTTATGGAGCAGCAGTCAGTCCATGCAATTTTGGACGCGATTTTCACTATGGGTCATCCGGAAACAGTCTCTCTGTGCTTTAGTACAGGGGTAAGACTGTGTACATCCAACCACCCCTTACCCCATGGGAGCCTTTGCGGCACTAGGGTAAATGAAAATGAAAATGAAAGTCTTATATATATAGATATATATATATGTATAATAGAAGCTTTCTAAACAGTACCTGAACATGACACATTCCCTGTATATTCTATGTCTTCCCCAAATACAACTCATACACTCCCAGAAGAAGAAATCTTAAAGGCTTAGATTATTTTAGTAGAATGGACTAAGTCCTACTTCAGTAACACCTTATAATCAGCCTTATTTATAAATTTGGTACATGTTTGGTTTGTATTATAGGCAGTTAGTTTTCAGTGATTTTTCAATAACTATATAAGTAATACTGTATATAACATAGTTAGTAATGAATATATTCATAACTATAAACATATAAATATCACATAATTTTGAAATTCCAAAATGTGCAAACATGAAGAGGGCAAAATAAGTGTAGAAGGTAAAGTATTAGGAGTGTTGGACCCCTAAGTAATCATCATTCCAATCTTTCCTCGACCAAAAGAACAAAAACCACCTTTGTACATACGGATTACGGAGTATGAAACATACGATTAAGTTGTTGATCACAGTTAGGGTTTGCCTAGCGACAGGTCAATTTCTTCATTACTCTTCTTATTAATCTTGCTAAGGGGTTAGTGTTATCTAAAGTTAGTCTTCAATTCTTCACGTGTTTGTTGTTTATGGCGGGAAATCAGTCTGTGTGATGGTAAATGACTTTCAATAACTATAATTATTAGCATATTATTATTGTTATTGTTATTAGTATTAGTATTATCATTATGATTATTATTATTAGTATTATCATTATTATTATTATTGTTAATATTATTGTTATTACTAAGATTATTATTATTAATATTATTATTATTCAAGGGTTATCATGTGTTTATTATTGTTATTACTAGAACTATTAATAGTTATTATTCAAATATATTTAAATAACTTTCAAAGTGAATATATAAATATTCATAATTTTATATGGTAAATGTGTGAAGCAAAATTACAATTCATATTTGTAGTATTATTCGAGTTATTTGAATTCAAACGCAAAATATTTGATTTATTACAACCCTACTTGTACCTATAAGGTCCTATACACTACCTCGTCCCAAAAAGTATTACTCCATAGGAAAGTAGGAATAAAGTGAAAATGTTAGAAAAAAGATACATAAATGTGAGCCACACAATTTTCCAAAATCGAATAGAAATTTTTTTTTGGGACATCCAAAAATGGTAAATGAGAAGAATTTTTTGTGACAGAGGGAGTAAATAAGCAAATAAAGAGCAACATTTTGTGTTGCAAACTTGAGTGAACAAACTTTGACTAAGAAAGCTGCCAGATGAGCTTTGCAGAAAATATCAATAAATGGATGATGGATCTGCCAAAAACCGAACATATAATTATAGAAGTAAGAGAGACCTGACCAGGTTTGGAATTCAAAAACTGAAATATTGGCTAGTGTACAGCCGAAGAGAACTGTTGCAAATCAACAGTTGAAACCTCAGAACAAAACTTCGATTCTACTTAAAAGTTTTTATTCGTATTATTAAATAAGTGGGTCGCCACCCATACTCTTCTATGTGATAGGCAACATTACATCTCAAGCAGCAGACCATGGTGTGCGGAAGCTGGCTCCTGCATAAACAGCTGCTGAACCGAGCTCCTCCTCAATTCTCAACAGCTACACATTAACAAATGAATTACAAACATAAATGGGGTACGGTTTTTATTGTGAATTGTAGACATATACCGCGGTAGATGATTAGTTAGTCCAATACCTGGTTATACTTAGCCAGACGCTCTGACCGGCAGGGAGCTCCGGTCTTAATTTGACCCTAAAAGATTTGTGCAATTTGTATTCAGTATATAACAAAAAATAAGTTCCGAGAAAATCATACGTTTGTTTATTATTAAAGAAATATGTCATGAATTTACCGTTGACAAACCCACAGCAAGATTAGCAATAAACGTATCCTCTGTCTCTCCACTGCACAAAGCGTGCATACAATCATTGAGTGCAGCTTTATAGAATATTCTATTCTAAAAATGGATTGGTTAAATTATTCCATTTCATATCAACTACTACTTGAAAGTGTATCATATCCATACCTGCGGTGACTTGTCATGGCACCCCAACCCGCTCTCTTAGACATTTTTACAGCTTCAATACTCTCAGTCACAGTTCCAATTTGGTTAACCTAGTATTGGAAAAAAAATGTCATTTCATCATTCATCATTTACCTCAGTGCCGCAAAGGCTCCCACCTACAGTGGGGTAAGGGGGGGTCGGATGTACGCAGTCTTACCCCTGTACTAAAGCACCTTTGTACTAAAGCACAGAGAGACCGACTGCTGCTTCATAACAAAGAAGCACAGACAGTTTAGTGAGCCATTTTGCTTTATTCCATCATAATCTCAAACCAAAAAATAATGAATCTTTGGCTCCATTGCAAATGATTGGAAAAAAATGTAAGTGTTTTTTATTCATAGTTATCTTTACAACACCAATGGTAATCAGTATCACTCCACTTGTAAGGGTCATAGAAAACTACCTTAAGAAGAAGGGCATTGCATGATTTGCCTTCAATTGCCTTGGCAACCCTCTACAGGCATAATAGAAACCAAAATCAGTTCAAAATAGCAAAAAGATAAAGGAGAGGGAAAAACCAAGATACAACAGTGGAATAGAAAATGACCTTAGGGTTGGTGACAAGGAGATCATCTCCTACAATCTGCACTTTCTCCCCTATCTCCGCAGTCATTTTAGCATAGTGTTCCCAGTCATCTTGGTCGAATGGATCTTCAATGGAAACAATAGGGTACTCAGCCACAAATGACTTGTAAAGATCCTTAAGCTGGTCACCTGAGATCTTCTTTGAGCCATCATTTTTCTGCAAAAGTTGAGGAATTAGCTATCGACCGACACATCAGTAGTATGCATGGTTTTGGTTAAGGGGTGGGGGTAATACATGCTCAGGCATGTGGCTTAATTTTCTAGCATACATCCGAACTAAAATAACAAGGGTTGTGAAGACAGAAATATGTCCTCGTTTAATTAATATCTTTCCAACGAGATATTAAACGCTTTCAACGGCACAACATAGAGCAAGATATGATCGCATCAAATTCTACACGATTTCGGGGTGAAATCAGAAACATTTGTGAATATATGGTTAATCTGTAACTTTTAATTAATGCATTGTAAATGAAGTTGGAACAATATCTTTAGAGCTCCGATCTATCTTTCCAACGATATATAATACGCCCAAAACGGATAAACACACAGCAAGATATGAATGTCACAAATACTTAGCCTTTTCTCTATGATTTAGCGTTTTCAGCCAAAATAGAGCACTTTTAGCGTAAATACAGTGTATTTTAGTAATTAGGCAATCATCCCTTGATATTTTGAAACCAGTGCCTGAAGACAAGTTTTAGAACTCGGTAAGAAATTTCCATCGAGATATTAAACGCTTTCAATGGCACAAAATAGAGCAAGATATGATCGCGTAAAATTCTACATGAGTTCGGAGTAAAATCAGAAACATTTGTGAATATATGGTTAATCTGTAACTTTTAATTAATGCATTGTAAATGAAGTTGGAAAAATAGCTTTAGAGCTCCGATCTATCTTTCCAACGAGATATAATACGATCCAAATGGATAAACACACAGCAAGATATGAGTGACACAAATACTTAGCCTTATCCCTATGATTTAGCGTTTTCAGCGAAAATAGAGCACTTTTAGCGTAAATACAGTGTATTTCAGTAATTAGGCAATCAACCCTTGATACTTTGAAACCCGCGCCTGAAGACAAGTTTTATAACTCGGTAAGATCTTTCCAACGAGATATTAAACGCTTTCAACGGCACAAAATAGAGCAAGATGTGATCGCCTCAAATTCTACACGAGTTCGGAGTGAAATAAGAAACATTTGTGAATATATGGGTAATCTGTAACTTTTAATGAATGCATTGTAAATGAAGTTGGAACAATAGCTTTAGAGCTCCGATCTATCTTTCCAACGAGATATAATACGATCCAAACGGATAAACACACAGCAAGATATGAGTGACACAAATACTTAGCCTTATCCCTATGATTTAGCGTTTTCAGCGAAAATAGAGCACTTTTAGCGTGAATACAGTGAATTTTAGTAATTAGGCAATCACCCCTTGATATATTGAAACCAGCGCCTGAAGACAAGTTCTAGAACTCGGTAAGATCTTTCCAACGAGATATTAAACGCTTTCAGCGGCACAAAATAGAGCAAGATATGATCGTATCAAATTCTACACGAGTTCGGAGTGAAATCAGAAACATTTGTGAATATATGGTTAATCTGTAACTTTTAATTAATTCATTGTAAATGAAGTTGGAACAATAGCTTTAGAGCTCCGATTTATCTTTCCAACTAGATATAATAAGATCCAAACGGATAAACACACAACAAGATATGAGTGTCACAAATACTTAGCCTTATCTCTATGATTTAGCGTTTTCATAAAAAATAGAGCACTTTTACAGTGTATTTTGTGTGTGTGTGGGACTTGTAAAAAGCGTGTGTGGGTCTGATATGTAAATAGTGTGTGTGCGTTGCATGTGTTGAGGGGGAGAAAATCTGAAAAAGAACAAAAATATAGTGTGTGTGTGTCTGTTGCATGTGTTGAGGGGGAGAAAATATGAAAAAGAACAAAAATAGTGTGTGTTACATGTGTTGAGGGGGAGAAAATATGTAAAAGAACAAAAAAAAATAGTGTGCGTGCGTTGCATCTATACATAGTGTTTGTTGAATTTTTTTTTGGGGGGGGGGGGGGGGGGGAGAAAAGGGACAAATTTTTCACTGTTTAAGGGGGAGCTCTAATTTTTACTGTCTTTGGGCCTCAAAAATCTTTCTAATAGGCATTTTGTGATAGCCCATAATTTCGGGCTTAACTATTTTGGAAACGGCCCAGACCTCTCGGGTATTTAAACCCTCGCAAAACCCATCCTCCCATTCTAAAACCTTTTCGCGAACCAGAGGCACGAAATTTTTTCAAAACTCAGAGCTCCTCAGAACCTTCATCTTCTTCCCGTCTTCTCTCCATCTCCCTTTCCTCACTTCGACTTTTACTAACGAAGGTAGTTTAAACAAAACCTCTCCTTCTCTCCATCGATTCATTAAAGGTCGAAATCAAACGAAAATATTTCTCGCAATCTGTTCGTAAAATCTCATAACAACTGTTCAAAGGTTTTTCTTCGATTGATTGGAGGTCGAAATCGCAATGTATATCGGTTTTCGTATCTTCTGTTTGTGTTTTTGCAGGTGGAATCGTATTTTCAAGATTTATGATCTCGAGGTTCAGTTCTCCAGATCTCGAGTTCGTCGATTCGTCTTCGAGAGAGATCTCGAGATTTGAATCTCGACATCTTGATCTCGAGATTTGAATCTCGAAATCTTGATCTCGAGATTTGAATCTCGAAATCTTCATCTCGAGATTTGAATCTCGAAATCTTGATCTGGAGATTTGAATCTCGAAATCTTGATCTCGAGATTTGACTCTCGAAATCTTGATCTCGAGATTTGGATCTCGAAATATGGATCTAGAGATTTAGACTTACATTTTTTTCAAAAAACCCACCTGCACCCATTGTCTGAAGCTTGTAAACACCAAAAGTTTTTCAATCTAATGCAAACAAACAATGAATTCATATGCTGACCCCCTGCTTCTTCAGTTCATCATGGCAGGAACATCTCAAATTCAGAATGACGACGCCATCTACCCGAAGGGAAAGTGGATCAAGGTGTTGGATAACAACTTCCATCTAGACCTCACCGTCTTCAAATGCCAGAACCCGATCATTCCGGCCATAATGAAAGGTCACTATCTCTGGGATGCACTCCACAATGCCAAACCAGTGCCAGAGATATACCTACAACAATTTTGGGGCCACATGCATACAGAATCAGCAAAGGATCGCTCCAAAATCAAGACTAAACTGAATGGTATGCGCGTAATCCTGACGCCATCTACACTGCGATCCACACTAGCGCTGCCAGTCCACGACACATATGATGCGCTGCCATCCATTCCTGGTCTTCTCAAAGACGTGGCAGCTCTCGGCTACACTTCACTTCTACCGCAGCTGTCAAACTTCAATGGAGCCTATCTCCATCACCCGTGGAAGAGCCTGTTCGGGTTGGTGAATAAATGCCTGTCACCGAAGCATGCCGGGTTTGACAAGTGCAACAAGCAGATTCTACTCATCTTTCACGGCATTGCATACAACAAGAAATACGACATGGCACAGCTCTTCTTCTCCGAGCTCATGGACCTGGTAAAAGCGAAGGAGAAAAACAGGTCAGGTACCATCCCATACGCAAGGTGGCTGGGGCTGATCATCCATGACTGCATGGCAGAGCACACCTCCATTCCTCGACGCAGTGCTGATCCACACTTCACAACACCAAAGCTGCAATATTTCAAAGCGGACAAAAACCCTGTAGCCGGTCTGCGGATTCCTGGGTTCCTGCTCCAACTCGCTAATCCATCCAATCCTGCCGTCCAATAGTACCGAGAGAGCATTGAGAGAACTGTCCCTATGGTTAAGCAAAACCCAGCTGGACCTACCCCAGGGACAAATCCGAGTGCAAGTAAGGGTCCTAAGCAAGCCCAGAAGCCACAGAAACCAGTGGCCGGTTTGCCCCATGAAGGAAAGTCTGACGACTGAGGGCACCGAAACAGACGTTGAGGAATCTGCTGATGAATCGTCCAGTGATGCCCACACTAACACTGACGATGAGGCATCCGAGAGCGTGGGTACTGATGGCGAGGAGTCCGACTCTGATGGTGATGATGATGACAGCGACGACGTTGAGCACACCTATGCTCTAATCAGAAAAGAAAAGCTGCCTGTCGAATCTCCAAAGAAGATAACTGCTGAAGACGCAGCACCAATAATTGCAGGCAGACCCAAGGTCTTCACCATCAAGGAGCTGCAAAAATCCAAAAGCGTTCACAGAGAAACCAACAGCTCCAAGGCTGATTATGATGAAGCAGCCCATGCCATCAAGAACTCTAAAGATGCCATCATTCGAGAGAAACGGGCTAAGATCAAGAATGACAAATCTGCTAAGTCAAAGCCTCAGCCTCACGTCAGGAAGAGCCTCATAGATAAGGCTGACGAGCACATATTCGCCGGCTGTGATCCGTTTATCCAGATAAGCCGAGTCGAATCCCTAAGTACAGGAGCCGATATTTTCGGTTCCCGAGTAGAAGTCGCATCATCTCGCTCAACTGTGCATGCACAGCCCTCACCCAGCCACTCGATAGCTTCCCAACAGGCTATCGTTTCAAAAGCATGGGACTCACCCCCCTCGCTGGTTCCTTCCGAATCAGTTGAGCGTACTATTGACCAATCGCCCGAGGTCAAAACCCCTCCTTCGAACACATCGAGTCTAGGTGTCACATTTCCAACATTTTCTTCATTTTCTAGGACACCTACACTATTCACAGCACATACAGGTGCACACACCCTGAACGCAACGACCAGAGTGCAAGCTATGACAGTTGGAAGTCCTGTTATGCCTTCAATGATTCCATCATTTCACGTAGGCCACACATCAGCTATATTCACTGATGCTGTGACAACAGTTACAACCCCCGTAACTGGACACCCCACCTATGAAGATGTCAACGTTCTGCTAAATCGCTTCCTGGATTCCACCATCAAACCATGGGTGCAAGAAGCAATGACCGCTCTTGCACTGGAATTTAGGAACACCCAAGCGGTTCGGTCTGAACAACCCACACCCCAACCTACACCCGAACCCTTCATCTCTCATACCCAACCAATATCTTCCACCGCCCTCTCTCACCACTCAATCAACCAAATACTCATTCCTTCA